CTGTGATAACTTGAGCTGCAATAGCATCGACACTCGCATCGATATGTGACTGATACGCCGTGAGTGAGGTAGAAATATGTGCCAACTGTCTTTGCATGATGGCCATGTCGGATAATTTCTGCTGCTGCTGATGCTGCTGGTGTTGCTGAGGCGCAAAGTGCTGTGATCCGACAGGCAACGGCGCATTGGGAGTTGAGGGCGCAGCATCTCCAGGAGGCGTTGCTGTACCAGTCACCTCTGCGTCCGTGTCCGAAGCTGTAGACCGTATTTCGATCATAGCTTCGTGGTGCCTTTGGACCCATTCGACTGCAAGGTCTCGTTTGTCCTGCAGCTCGGTGAGATATTGTTTTGCCTTTTCTTTGTCTACGTCCTGGAGTTTCACTTCCGATCTTTGAAGAGCTGATTCTTGTCTGGACAACTGATCCTTGTGAGGTCGACAAAGATGAATGGCCGTAATAACAACATAATACCATGATCGCTTCTCGCAGACCATCTCTCTCGATCTTTCTTTTAGCCTGATTGTGCCTACAATAACTCTCAACTGCTGCCGGCATTCCGTGATGAACGTACTGCGGTATTTGACCGACGCCGTTGCTTCTAGCTCTCCTGGAAAGTGCTGATGAAGCCGCGCCTTCGACGGAAGAGCTGGGATGGAGCTGAGAAGCCTCTGGTTCTCGTCCCTGGAATCATCCCCCTCCTCGTCTGCAAATGTAACCGACGGAGACCTCGTACGCTGTTGTCGCTTCATACAAGACTGTCTCTCGTCCGTGCCGGTCTGAGCAGGAGGACTCTGACCTGACGCTTTTCCCTGGCGAGTTTTGTCTCTTCCTCTCGGAGCGTTGGACTGAGTGCGTACATGATTGTTCTTGACCCACGGAGGAGGAGGAGGAGGAGGAGGAGGAGGAGGAGGAGGAGGAGGAGGAGGAGGAGGAGGGAGGAGGAGGAGGAAGAGGAGGAGGAGGAGGAGGAGGAGGAGGAGGGGAGGAGGAGGAGGAGGAGGAGTGTCCAATCAGCCGAGAAGCGGTGAGCCAGTCATATTTGGCTGCTTGCGGCGAACCCCGCCCTGGTGCCAGCGCAGCAGCGCAGCACCGTGGAATTTGACTTCGAGAGCTCCTCCAGTTCAGTGATTGCCTTTTTTGTACTAGCGCGCGACGCCGCCCTGCGGCAGCTGCCAGGGGCTGCCGTTCAGCCTGGCCGCCTTCCGTGGGCTCGCCGCAGCCCCGCTGCGTGAGAGTGCCCCCGCGCCCGGCTCGTCCCTCCGCGTGCGCCTTCTCGCCTTCCTCCTCCTTCTCGCGTACGGGTTAATTCGCGACCCCGGGTCCAGGTCTCGCCCCAACGCGCGTGCGGACCGCCTCTGCCGCGCTGCCACGTGAAAAGTTTGTATTTGCGCGCGTATGGAAACCCCCGGCTTCAGGTAATTCGTCTTTGCGCGGCCCGCTCTGACTCGACTCGCCGTTTGCGCTTTCGCTTGCGGTTGCTGATTAAAAGTATGGAAACCTTCTCTTTGTCCTCAGCCCCGTTCTCCTCCTTGCTCCTCCGCCCTTTTCTCGAAAGCCTGTTGAGCGTTTCTTTGGGGGCCTCTTTGGGACACCTGCAGCTCTCTCGAGGGCCCGTCGGAGGCCAGTCGGGGGTCTCCGTGGCAGTCTCGGGCGCGATGGGCTCACAAATATCCCCCGAAGAAACTCAGTTGAACCATCTCGCGGGCATATTGGACCTTTCGGGGCCATATCGGGGGTATTTTTGGGCTCTCTGATGATTTCCAATGCGATGTGAAGCTTAAATTATTCCTGGGAAAGCTGCCATCGGGTCTTGCAGTTTTTCCATCAAGGGGGCCTCGCTGGAGGCTGCTTTGGGCGTCTCTTGGGATGTTTTGCTGCCTTCTGAAGCATATTGGGGAGACCTTGGAGCCTGAACTCCCCCGAAGAGGCTTAGTTCGACGGCCGTTTTGGAACGCTCTTTGGCTGTTTTTGGGGAAATCTCGGGCAGTCTTTGGGGTGTCTTGGAGTGCGAGGCGATCTAAAGCCGAAAAGCTTCGGTAGCAAAACACATAGTTGCTCGTCATTGGGCGTCTATTGGGGACTTACTTCTCCAGATCTTCTGGGGCATAGGAAGGGGATCCTAGGGTCCAGTCTCTCACGAAATGGCTCTTGGAGCTGTTTTGGAGCCGCCTGGAGCCCGCCGTCTTGGGGTTTTTTTACGCTTAGCAGTGCTTTCGCTTAGGGATTCTCCTTGCTTTCCCGTAAAAAGTGCGTGCGTTTGTTGTTATTGTTTTTGTTTGTTAGTTTGTGTGTTTTGTGTGTTATATATAATGTATATATATATATATATATCTATATGTATGTAAATGTATGTATGTATATATGTATTTATATACATATATAGGAACTTGGCCTGCACGTCGGCCTGCAGGTTGTGTGGTCGCCGTCGCAGGCCCGTCGTCGTCTAGTCGCCGCTCGTCGTCTCGGCCTGCCCGTCCGTACGGTGGCTATGTGGTCGCCGT